GTTCTACAATATCAGGGCAGTTTTCTTTGATAATTTCTTGAAAGATGATGTCTAGACTCTCTTTCTGATCATGGCTTTCAGATAGTCTAATACTTTTTAAATTACCTCTCCTGGATCTATTTTCCAGGTCAGTGTTTTTCCACTGAGATATTTCACATTGTTTTCTATTTTTTCATTCTTTTGAATTTGTTTTACAATGTCTTGATTTCTCATAAAGTCACTAGCTTCCAATTCCTCCATTCTAATTTTTAAGGAAGTATTTTCTTCAGTGAGCTTTTGGACTTCCTTTTCCATTTGGCCAATTCTGCTTTTTAAGGCATTCTTTTCCTCATTGGCTTTTTGGACCTCTTTTGCCATTTGGGTTAGGCTATTTTTTAAGGTGTTATTTTCTTCAGTATTTTTTGGGTCTCCTTTAGCAAGCTGTTGACTTGTTTTTCATGATTTTCTTGCATCACTCTCATTTCTCTTCCCAGTTTTTCCTCTACTTCTCTTACTTGCTTCTCAAAATCCTTTTTAAGCTCTTCCATGGCCTGGGACCAATTTATATTTTTCTTGGAGGCTTTGGATGTAGGAGTTTTGACTTTGTTGTCTTCTTCTGGTTGTATGTTTTGATCTTCTTTGTCACCAAAGACAGATTCTGTGGTCTGACTTTTTTTTTTTTGCACAGTTTGTTCATGATCCCAGCCAATTACTTGACTTATAAACTCTTTGTTAAGGTAGGGGTCTGCTTCCAGTGTGGAGAATGTACTGTCCCAAACTTTGGGGGTTTTGTGCAGCTATTTTCAGAGACTTCTAGGGACCTGTAAATTTTCAATTCTTCCAAGGTGGTATGATCAAAAGCGAGGTGTTTACTCCTTTCTTGGCCTGTGCTCTGGTCTATGAATGACCACAAGCACTCTTTTCTGCCTTGGAACTGTGAGGAGAATTCCTTCTTCACTGTCACTACAAGCTATACCATGCCAGCACTCCTCCTCGCCCCAGGAGCACCACCCAGAACTGTGACCCAGATCCAAGCACAGGTAAAGCAAGAGATTCCTGCCTCAGTACCAGCAAAGAGATCCCTGAAATCCCTCTCTGATCAGCCACTCAATTCCCCCTCAATCTGTGGGCCGAGAGCTTGGGAAGCAGCCGCCACCCCGGGGTTGCTCTGGGACTGGGACTGTGTCCGAGCTTCTCTCTCAGTGAGGTCACAGACCTTTCCTACTGACCCTCTAATTTGTCTTTGGCGTTTGTGGGTTGAGAAGTCTAGAAATCTCCACAGTTACCCGTGATTGAGTCCCCTGAGGCCTGCTCCAGGTTCGCAGAGGCCTGGTCTTTGCCTCCCCTGCCTACACTGAATTGCGCTCCTGTCCTAGCTTGGCACCATAGACCTTTCCCATCAACCGTCCAGGTTGTATTGGGCTGGAAATATGTTTCACTCTGTCTTTTTGTGAGTTCTGCTGCTCTAGAATTTGTCTAGAGCCATTTTTTACAGGTGTTTGGGGGAGAGCTCAAGCAAGCTTTTACTCTGCCTTCTTGGCTCCGCCCCCCAGTTTTATTATTTTCAGTTCCATATGTACTGGTGAAAAGAGGTTAAATGTCTTAAGAGATTTTTTTAGGGTGAATTCATATTGAGAGCCATTATGGTATAGTGAAAGGAACACTGGATTTGGAACCAGGTTATCCTGGGTTCTGCTGGGCTTCAATTTTCTCATCTGTAAAATGAGGGGGGTCAGACTAGACTGGCTTCTGAGCATACTTCCAGCTCATATTCTTATGACTGAATTATTAATAACAATGTACATATCTTTTATACTGGGTTTGTGATTTCTCAGGTGTGAGGTGTTCCTAGTGAGGCAAATCCCTAATACAGATCTGCATCTGTTCAGCAATTTAGAACCCTAGAGAAGTGTCCTTAGGCATTGAGTGGTTAAGTGACTTGCCTAGTGTCACATAGCCTGGATGTCATAGATGGGACTTAACCCCAGTCATCTTGAGTCTCAGGGCAGCTATTTATCCAGTATAACATGCTGCTTCTTGATAATAAGAATATCAGTAATTATAATTGAATGAATAGTTGTTATGTTTCTGATATTCATTGTTTGAATATGACAAACATTGCAACAAATGTTTGCAACAAATTTTGAATTCAAATTGATGCTTTAATGGTGCTTGAAAATAGTTTATTATACTTTTATGTTTAAGTAGGCTTAAGATTTGCTGTTTATAGTGTTAATTTGTTTGTGGAATGTGTATGATAGCAGGCCTCAGGCCAGAATTAATTAGTGGTGTCTGAATTTATAAACTTTCATGGTATTGTCATGTTTTCTCTCTTGGTTGCTTTCCCTATCCCCCAGTGCAGGTAAGAGTATAAGTTTCTAGAGAGAAGAAAAATTAGGTTTATTTATTTCACATTTGAAACATGAGAACCAAATCTTTTCTCATGCATTAAATACTTCTAGCCATCTATGCTTTCTTGGGATTAGTACTATTGATTCTTTATTTTCATTCTTGATTATATTGGTTCTCTTTAGACTGTTATTTCTTACAGTGAAGCTCAAATTTACTCATCAGTTGTTCTTTATTATTTACAGTAGTTATATCTAGTTTTTCCTTTTTCTTTTTTTCTTTTCTGATGAGTATTGTCCTTTTCTTTTTTTTAGAGAGGGGACAGTTACATGCTAATTCTCATTAGTTGTTGCACAGTCTCAATGAAGTGGAAAACTATTCGTTTACATTCAGCTGCCTAAATATCTGCCTTGTTAGAATAGTAGCAATATAGTTTTAGTTTTTATGAATCTCTTCTCTACCACCCTCATTACATACTGGTTAAAAACTTAGTCTAGTATCCCTCAGAGTATGTTACTATGGGTAATGAAGTGGTCACCTTTGGATAATGATGACCATTAGAAGCATTGCTTTCTAATATAAAACAAATATTTAAAAATACTTATCATATATGTTAACTATTTTACAACAAAAAGTTGTATAATAGAAAATAGCTATTTTTTTGTTTTACAGCATTAATCTGCCTATCTTATGATTACTGAAAATTATTATATAGATGAACAAAGCACTTATAGTATTAATATCCCCTCATTTTTGTGTTGTATTTGGTGTGTGTAGATGGCAAAATATATAAAATATTTATATTATGTATTGTGAAATGGTTAAAATTGAAACTATGACAGAAAATTATTTCCAAATATCTTATTACAATATTGTTAGAATTTGAATAGTTTTTGGTTTGTCTTTGCATTGTGGTTTGTTAATTGTGTAGCCATGTTTTCCATGCTAGCTAAAAACAAATATAAAAGAGCTATAATCCTTTAGCACATTGAAGAAGACATTGATTTTATTGATTTTTTTTTTACAGACAGAAACCTCAGTTTATATTTTGACTAATTGCTTGTTAATGAAAATGAAATCAATAGATATAATAAATATTTATAGAAATGCTATATGATCTTTTTTGAAAGTCATCTTTTAATAGGAAAAAATACCAGTTTTCTGAACTTGTAGAACTATTTTTTTTACTTTCAGAAATGAGTGAATTACCTGTGAGAGAAGCAGTGGGACAGAGTGTACAGCTTCAGATTTGGGAAGGCTGAGTTCCAGTCTAGTCTCTAACGAACACTAGCTTTGTGACTCCTAAGCCAACTACTTTACTTCTCAGTGATGGCAGGTTAACTTTTTTAAGAATCTAAGTTGTTGGGAAGCTGCTAATCTCTTTTGGTAGAGGGAACAACTCACCAGGATTTCTTTACTCTGCAGTGCCATTGCATGTGTTTGAAAATAAAATACATAGTTATATCCATTAATTACTCTGACATTCATCTTGCACAGTAGTCACCAATTGTATTTCCTGTGTTGTAGAGTTCAATAACTACTTTCTGCATAATAAATCTCTTACTGTGTAAACTGAGAATCTTTCTTCCTCTTTGGAACAGACAGTGTTTTTGAAGTTGTTGCCATGTTTGAAGTATATAAATAATGACAAATATTATCTAGATAGAAACTGTCCTGAAAAGGAATCACAATTGTTACTACACTAGCCTCTCTTTGACTCTGTCATCAGGAGAATGTGGCCAGAAGATGTTAGTGCTTCCACATTGCTAATTCAAATTGAATTTCATGTGGGATAGGGTTTGGGGGGACAGGGAGTGGACATATCTCCTCATACTTTTTCTGTCTAGAACCACTACCATCAGCAGGCTTCTACAGACCTTCTTGTGATCTAAAGGCTTTGTGGTAATAACAAATTGCTTCTCTTTATGAGAAGTTTGGTGCTCCCTATTGCTCAGTATCTGTATCACCCGCCTTGGGTGAAGACATTTGCCCATCACGAAGGCTACTGTAATTGAATAGTATTCTTTGAAACTGCAGAACTAGAAAGAAGAAATGAGTTTGAGAAATATCACAAGCCTGACATAGTAGTGATGGGGTACTTCAGTTATATTAATGTATGCTGGGGTTTTCTCCCTGCCAAAATCAGAGTGACTATTAGTTTCCTAGCTACCATAGTGATAATTTTATCCTTTAAAAATGAAGCATAGGTTTAAATGATGTGATATAGTTCTGGGCTTATTTGGAGTGGCAGCAACGGAAAGAGGATTGATAGTCTTTAAAAATGGTGTTGCTTATTATTTTTGAGCAGGGGGTTTGGAGAAAATACACAGATTCAAAAAGTTAAGTTGCAAAAAGAAAATGGGCTCTGGAAAGGACTCATGATCACACATAGTTTTTTCCTCTTCATCTTCAACTGTACGTATATAGTAGAGTAATATGTATTTGGTAAAAGTAGCAATATTAAATGTCCTTTTAATCCTGATTTTAAGTAATTTCCTCAGTATGTCATAATGTTTAATTGTACTTGTGTAATATATAGGCAATAATTTTTCATTATTATTAATATTATGACTTACCAATGGTGACTATACAGTTAATTCTTTCAAGTAATAAATTATAATTCTTCTTCTTTATTATTTTAAAACATAATCAAGATTTATTTTCCTTTTCAGACAAGGGTGCAACACTGCATCTGCTCTGTAGCCAGTGACCATTCTGTAGGACTTCTGAGTTTGAGAGAGAAAAAATGTATCATGTTGGCATCTCGTCACCTTTTTCCCATCCAAGTAATAAAGTGGAGGCCTTCAGATGATTACCTAGTGGTTGGCTGTTCAGATGGCTCTGTATATGTCTGGCAAATGGATACTGGTAAGATTAAGTAGAAAAAATGGAATAGAAAATTATTTGTGTGTACTTGACATTTCAATAAACAAATTGACGAGTTTGTAGTTTATGAGTATGCTTTTAATATTAGAAAAGTCAGCTTTGGAGACATAGAATTGCTTTATTTTATTCCAGTTATTGGTACTTCTAAATGTTTTTATCATCAACAAAGAGGAGAGACTGAATAGTAGAGTAGCGAGAGCATTTGACTAAAAGTCTCGGACCCTGGGTTTTACTCCCCGCTATCCTGAGCACTGTCTGGGTGACCCTTGGGTTAGTTGTTTCTCTTCTCTGGGCCTCAGTTTCCTCATTTCTGAAGAAGGGAGTTTGATGAAATGACTATCTTCTCTAGTGCTTTTGCACATAATAGGTGGTTAGTAAATGTTTAATAAATTGAGGTTATTTATGATTTGTGTATTCATAATTAGAAATGACGTTCTTGGTGAAAACTGCAGAGTTAATTATAAAGGAGTCTTATTTGTGTATTGTTCTCAAAGGGAGCTCTGATGACAGTAATGACAGATATAAGAAACTTTTAGATAGAAGAATGAGCATATTGAATTCATAGCTGATGCATTTTAAAAGAAAATGGAGTTATGGCTCTATAGAATTTGCTCAATTTAAGTTAAAGAAAAAATGAAAGAAATACCATTTCCCCACATTTATTAAATATTTTTAACCTATTAAGCTTTGTGAAATAGTGTAAATAAGAGCTTAAATTTGAACATCAGTGAAAGCTGATTTTCTAGAATATTTGTCGATGGAAGAAACAACTAATCCAAAACTTCATGGAGCCTAGATGATGCTATTGTTATAATCATTATACAGTGATTATACATTGTACAATGAACTATAATTTAGATTATGTGCTATATAATGTTGTGCTACATAATATTATATGCGTTTAATATTATAATTTGCAGCTGTATTTTGAATGTCACTGTAAATTTAAGTCAGTATTCAAGTATGCCAGGGAATTTCAAAATCAAGGTAAAAATGGAAAAACAAAATTATGTTTTATGTTTCAGCATTAATAACAGATGCATGTTATCTTTTTTCCTCCTGATGTTCGATATTTCCAGATAGAAATATGAGAGACCCCAGGGAGTAAGTAGGGAATATGCTGAAGGTTTGTGACATTATTTATTTATTAAATATATTTATTTATGAAATAAATAAAAAATGAAGCAAGATAAATCAGGCTGAGTCAAGACTTGATGTCTGAATTCTCCATAAACTCTGAATAGGTATTGGACCTTTGTTGTTATTGCTTTGGGATAGCCATCCTCAGCAATGATGTTCTTTCAGCTCAAAACGTCCTATTAATTGTTTCTTCTTCTGTAATATATACCTGTTTGAAATACATTGATATTTTTAGCTTAACACATTTGGGGAAAAAAAGCACTTTATTTTTTAGCTATGTAGAACATTTCAGTTCTCCCCAGTGCCTTAATTTTTGTGAAAGAAGTCAAAGGTTACTAATGTACAGCACCTATGGTTGATAGCATAGAAGACAAAAACTTTTTGTTCCTATTCTCATGTCATCTTTTATCACCGTTAATGACATTAAAAGTAGTATACAGAAGCATACATCGTTACTTCCTCACATTTTTCAATACAAAAAAATTGTGCTAGTCATCTGTTAATGGACCATACTTGGCCAGATGAGCTTCATGCCTTCCTGCCCTTGGCTGGGCAGCAGATAGCCTATGTGTCTGCTTCTAAGCTGCCTGGGGTCAGCATTGTGATCCTGACTTACGCAGATCTAAGGTCAAGGCTGAATCTCTTACAGTGGAGAATAATCTTAACATATATTAGGTAAGGCTATTTAGGTATTTATTCAATTTACCTTTCACTAAACCATCCCTTAATAGATGAATTTGGGGATTTTTGGAGCTGTGCTTTTTCGATTCACTCTCAAAATACTTGGTGTTTCAAGAATCTTGATCCTTTCATCTATTTGCTTTTCCTGCCTAATTACCTGTTTCAGTCTGGCATAGTTCCTGTGTTTAGAAGGACTCTGAAGTTGTAGAATCTAGCTCAGGGAATTGTAGGTATTTTTAATTTTAAATTTGCTTGCCTGAATTTCTTAAGTGTTAATAGATTTTCCTTTGAAGTTTAAGTTGTGTAATTTCCTTTTTGTTAAATTTAAATATTTAAAATCAATATTCTGTCACTCATTGGAATGAAAGTATCATATTATATTGCAGGTTTCTAAGAATCTGCCAGGTGATATACACATGATGTTTCAAAAGTCTCGGTGCAGTTTTAGCTTTAGTAGCTTTTGTGTGTATGTATTTTTATATGCAGGTATATATGTGTATGTATATATGCATGTATGTACAGATTATATTGTACAGAATTATTTTATTTAATTTATTAAATGCCATGTCCAGATCACCTTTATGGAAAGTCTCATGAAAATTGTTGCTGTTAACTATATTCCCACTGGCTTATTTTTATACCGTAGTTCCTATAATGTTAACATAAATGACTTCTATATACTTATGGCCATAACAACATGCTTTGTCTTACTACTAATTCAGATTTCCTTGAAAAGCTGCTAAAAATCAGGTGAAAGAGAGCCTCTTATTTTAGTCCTGCCATTTAAAAAAATGTAGACCTTCCAAAACTGAGTTAGGACAGAATAGTATTCATTTTTATTTCAAATCTGAAAGACTTCTCTTTTTGTCAGAAAATCTACCCTAAAGTTATATTTACTTGAAGTCAAGGTTAGTTTAGCTCAAAATAAGAGCATTTAAAAAGTATAATGGAGGGAAAGTACAAGTGAATAAATGAGGTGTATGTGTTTGAAAATTATACTCACAGGAAAGATTCAGTAACTTGAAACATTTGAAATGAACACCATATGCACCAGACTCAGAGGACCAGTTTCATGTATGAATATATTTATGTAACTTTTCCTTGCATCATTTGATTGCTTTTCCCCTCAAAACTGAAATTACCTGTTAGCAACAGGAGGTGGTGCTGCAGTTCAGTCCTTTTATTGTTAATGGCGCATTTGAAATACCAAGTGTTTATTATCACGTATTTTTATCCTTTTTTCTGATGGTGTTTATTGAGAAAGTGATTGGATTTAGTTGCATTTTATTTTGTCAAAAGATATTGAATTATTTTTCTATATTCTTTGTTATTTGCCCTTAAATTTAAAGATAAAGATAACAGTTAAGGGAAATTGTAGAAGCATGTGAAATGTTTTGGAAATTGGTGCTGAGAAAGAGCTGTGGCCTAAGTGCTGGACAATGTTCAATCAAGGTTAAAGCTGTGGTGAATGATTTCTTGGTTTTATGCATGTGGAAGATAACAGTTGTCTTACTGTTTTCTGTCCCTTTCTCTTATCCTTCATATTGAGGCAGTCACTAGTTCCTGTCGATTCTTCCTTCTTATTTTTTTTCTCATATTCATCCTTTCCATTTCTCTTGCTAGCATTCTAGTTAAGGTTCATATATCCATGTTCCATGTAGACTATCAAAGTAGTATCCTAAGTGATCTTACTGCCTCCAGCCTGTTTTGTATCCTATCTTGTACTGTGCTGAGTTATTTCCCCCAAATACAGATTTAGTCTTGTCACTCTACTGTTTTTAAATATTCAAGCTTCCATGTTGCTTATATGCTAAATTCCAAATTCCTTAGCCTGATTCATTCTGAGATTTTCCATGGTGTGTCTCCAGCTTTCTAGCTGGTCATCACCATATTGTTTCCAATTAATTGTTATTAAAAAGTACTATTATGGATATTTTTGTATGTACAGGGTCTTTCTGTTGACTTATTTGGATTTGAAGTGTAAAGTAGAGTAGTTTTAATGTGTATTTTAAAAAATTAATAACTTGGAACAATTTTCATATGGTTATTTATAGTTTGCAATTTTTCTTTGTGATGACTTTTATCTTTGTCCATTTTTGCATAATTCTTGATTTCATGGTTTTTTTTTTAATTCCTTCCATATTTTGGCTTTTAGACTTTTATTGATTATATTGAATTATGTATATTTTTTCATGCTGATTATCTTAACTGAATCCTTCTCCTTCAACATGTACAATAAGATTTTAAAATAAAATACAAATTGATATTATAATAAATATCTCATATTTTGGCTTTTAGACTTTTATTGATTATATTGAATTATGTATATTTTTTCATGCTGATTATCTTAACTGAATCCTTCTCCTTCAACATGTACAGTAAGATTTTAAAATAAAATACAAATTGATATTATAATAAATATCTCAAATATTTATTTTCAATGTCTGATAATATATTTTGAAGATTAAGAACTTAAAAAGATACATTGGCTATTTGTAGCCGGTACATATGTTTATTCCATTTATTGTGTGTTTTTAGTAATATACCTGATTGAGCATCTTGCATCTAAAATCACCATAGTTTAGATTGTGTGACTGGTGAAATGGAGTGCAGAAAGTAGATCTGCTTGAAAACCAAAAGGTCATTTAAATGTCAGATGTTGTAATATAACTCTTGTGTGGTTTGTCACTGAATTGTAGATAGAATCAATGGTTAATTTATTTAAATGACAAAGATTTTAAATGAAATGTTGCCTTTTCTTTTAGTTTGTTACCTCAGAAATTAGAAGAGATGTTTAGATTTGAAAGAGCAATAGTTTTATTGTTCCTATATTGTGTTTCCCAAGTTAATTCTCTCCTTTTGATTAATTTTAGTGGCAATTTTTATTATTCAAAATTTAAGAAAAATCATTGAACACTAATAACCACCTACATGTGGTACAAAACACAGAATTATATCTAACTGTGTTTCTTTCTGCTTAGCTTATGTAAGACAAATGCATTAGGGCCTAGGAAAGGGTCTGTAACACAGTTTTGTTACAGTATATTCTGGAAAATGATGTGGACTCTGAATATCTTGGGGTGGGCTGTCTTATTCTACCACTTCTGGAGTCACAGCAAAAAGTCTAGAACCAGCTTCCAACACTTTCTTTACTTACTCTT